ACCCAGGTTTCCCACATTGCAGGTGAATTCTTTACCATCTGAGCCACCAGCGAAGCCTAACCATCTTATTGTAAGTGCCACCTTATTATCTGTGGGAGACCCCAAAATGATTCCACACATGTACCTAGAATCCAGCGATCTCATCCATACTCACCTTGTCCCTCTTTGCTCTGACCACTTCTATTGCCTTCAATGCTTCTTGGTGACAGGTCCCTGCTGCCTCTACCTTTCCTGGGACTGCCAGCATCTGTGCCAAGGGGTCTGGTTCTGAATGACCTGCCTCTTCAGGTCCAAGGACAGGCTTCCTCCCTGGGTCTGAGCTCTGCTTCACTAGTTGAATCCTGAACACAGAGTCTTGACTTATGCCCAGCCTCTCTGAAATCCTTCCTGAAGGCTCCCATTGGTTTCTGCTTCAAATCCCTTCTTGCGACAACTCAAACTAGTCCAAGGAATCTGGTGGGGTGAGAGGCCACTCCATATCCTCCATTTTTCTCTTCCTTTCACTGTAGCTTCTGCCCTCATTAGAGCCCCATCTTCTAGCTACAGGGTAAAAGATTCCAAATTCATGAATGGGACAAATTGACATAAGGCAGGGAAGGATGTGCAGTGTGGAGGGGAAAGAGACTTGTTCACATTAGCCAAAGCTAGTTAAAAATATCCCACTAAATATAATGTTTAAAATTTACCCTTGTCCATATTAAAATTTAGTTTTGCCATATCCTGAATGTGGTTACAGAACTCTATAAATTTGTTAAAATTCACAGAACTACACATCAGAAAAAAAAAATACAGTAAATTTTTACTACATAGAAATTTTAAAATAAGTTGTACAATTTCAGTTGCACCAGAGTTTTACCTGGCAGATCACACTCATGATGTTTTTCTTGTGACTTGGCTGTTCTTGGAAAATTTTATATTCCAGTTTTCCTTCCCAAAGACTAAATATTCATTTATTTGATTTTTATCAATAATAAAACATGGATTAGTTAATGGCCATAAATAGATTAAACCCAACAATATCAGAATAACTAGAGGACAAAGAACAGCAAAGCACAAAAAAAGGCCAGGAGCCTCTTATCTGGACATGATAACTCTGCTTAGCTGCTTTTATTTGCCTCTGTTCTCTGCTAATTCAGGCACCCAACTTTTCAGCATTCAAAGCAGGTTCATAACAGACTTTGACACGTAGCAAGTTACTAAGAACAGCCTGTCTTTGAATTTTTGTGGTCTCATACTCTCTTACTTAATATTGTTAATCCCTTTTGGAATAGACTGACTTCTGGGCAGCTCTTCCTAGTTAGAGGCAACCTGAAGCTTCTCATTTCCTTCTTTGGATCCTCATCCGCTTTCAGTTGCAGGCATAATGTCAGAGCATCTAAACCACCTGTTCCATTTAACAGCCCCTCCCGCACACGAGTCTCTATCTCCCAAAGCCACATCCTCTCACAGAAGTGAATGATCATCCTTTCATCCACAGAGTTATGGGTTCTTTTGGTCTCATTGGTTCTTGGGCAACTCTGACTCACTGGAAAGCACAGTCTCAAATTCTAGTGTCCTGTTCATATTTCGGGAGTGGATACCAAGGAGTATTCACTCTAACCCAGGCTCTTCCTGAAGTTCAGAGTCTCTTACCTCTAGTAGCTTATGTCTTATTGGAGAGGCAGAGAGTAAGCAAGTAAAAAAAATATATATGCCAATGAATTAGTTACAGAGTGAGATGAGGACTATAGGTGACATAAACAGAGTGTCAGAATAGAAAATAATGGGATGGGGGATAGCCGGTCAAGGGGAAGCCTATATCTAAAAGGCTGAACCAGAGGAGAAGCATTTCAGGTTTATTAAACAGTCAATACAAAGGTCCCCAGGCCAGAGAGCCATGCATGACTAGACACAATAGCCCAGGATGGCTAGAATACAGTGGGAGAGCAGAGCATGTGAGCTGGGCTAGAAGTGGAAGCAAGCTCAAGACAAAACCTCCCTGGAGGCTGAGTTGAGGAGCCTGAGCAACAACCCTGCTCAACAGGTCTGCTTTGGGTTAGGGGATGTCGGAGATAATCATATACTCCAAGGTGTGTAGCAAAGTAAGAATAAATATAACCCTCTGTTGGGAGATTTGATTCTTACCAACAACAAATTGCAAATGTTTCTCCACTTTCAACTTAATTTAGAGAAGATTTTGTTAGAAGTTGTTTCTTGACATAGGATGATGCCACAGTGTCTTGTTCTAGGGTCTTATTTATTCTGTGGTGTTTATTAAAATGAAGGCAACCATCCTGGCTTCATTACGGGAAAAGTATTCACAGTTTGGTTTCCATTCTTTTGCAGCTGCATTAAAACTCTTTGTTCAACTGTTTAAATTTTTAGAAGCTCTTAAGTGGATGGAAGGTATGCAGACGTCGAGTTTGTGAGTTCAAGAGAAGCACTGATTTATTTCAGTAATTTAGATTTGGAATTTGATTTCTATCTTCTTTGCTCCTTTCTCTTTGTTCCCTGCCACCTTTCTTTCTCCCTCTCTGTCCCTCCCTCCTTGTCTCTCTCTCTCACTCTCTCTCTCTCACACACACACACACACACACACACACACATCCCTCCACCTTGCAGCTAAGGAACCCAGAGCCAAATAAACTTAAAACAAGCTTTGAACCTTTGAAGGTAACCCTCATGCTGTGTTGCTGAGAAGATGCTTCAGTCCGTGGTAGGCTGCTATGGGGTAAATACATAAGAGGACTTTTGTACCAGCCAAGCAAAGTGTGGACAACTAGAAGAAGAAAACAGTTATTTTTTTTCCTGCAACTAGAAGAAATTAGCAATAGAAAATCTTAACATTTTCAAATTTATAAGTGAAATAATAAATCAAAGCCTTCTTAAATCTCCCCTGAGTGGTATTTCTGTATCAGAGGCTTCTAGCAGGGAAAGTGAGTTTCGAAGGATGCCTGGCACATCTCAGGGGCCTGGAGTGGTCATTTACTATTTTGGGGCTGTCAACTTCCATTCTGCCTCCCTAACAGCACCCCAAAATTACTGGGGATAAGAAATTTCCCCTCCTGTTTGTAGTCTTTGTGGAGGGACTGGATCTTTCCTTCCTCACTCTCTGATTCAGGACAGGGGAAGGAGCAGACGCAAAGATAACGTGTGCCTGTGTGGTGTGTTTACCAGTAACTTTGGACTTGGTTGAGTGAGTCAAGGATGGAGAACTGGTAGAGTCCATTCACCACTTTGTGAGGGAGGGCACACAGTCCCGATGGAGTTCTTCTGGGAACCAGGGGCTTAACTTTCTTCTTTTTTGGTTCTCTGGAGCTCTCCTGGTACCTGCTTCTCTAAGCCTGGCTTCCAGAATCTCAGCAATTCTGCATCCCCAAATAACATTCCAATCATTTCCCTTTTGCTTAACTTTTCTACAGTCCTTTTCTGTTGCTTGCTGTCAAAGACGTTAAGTTAATTGAGACGGTACGGCAAATGTTCCTAGAGTGAATGAATTAATGGAATGAATTATATTTCAAGCCTTTGTGATTTTCCCCTGCTTTTGTCATAGTCAGAGAATTTGAATCTCATCTGTAGATGAGTTTTCTTGGAATTTGGAAAAATATTGAAGTTTTATGCAATTTTTCTTTTGGAGGCAAAACTATTTTAAAATAACAATTAAACCTAAGTTTTAAATATAAGCTTATTATAAGGTGGCTAGAAAATAAAAATAAACATAGAAAAGAATATAAAAATATTCACAGACATCTTTCTATATAATAAATATCAGTTGACAAAATCATGTTTGATAATTGAATGATATCTCATGGTAGAGATAATTTATTTAGATAATCCCCCATCACACTTTGGGGACTTCCTTGTGACTCAGATGATAAAAGAATCTGCCTGCAATGCAAGAGACCTGGGTTTGATCCGTGGGTTGGGAAGATCCCCTGGAGACAGGAATGGCCACCCACTCCAGTATTATTGTCTGGAAAATCCCATGCACAGAGGAGCCGCCGGACCCTACTGGGCAACAACACATTACTACAGCACCATTACATTTGGGCTATTTCTTAATCTTATAAAAGATCCCCCACTGAACATGCTGTTAGGTAAACCTTTGTGTACACAGGCTTATTATTCTTATGATACCTTTTTAGTAGTAGAATTGTTGGAGTAAAGAGCCTGCATGATTATAATAACTTTACTTATAACAGTAGCACCTTTTTTTTTTTGTTAATATTTCTTTAATGATCATTGTAAGACTCAATTTGCCTTAATATACATGCCTATACTAAGTATAGTTATGCATTTTCTTTTTTTTTTCTTCATTTATTTTTATTAGTTGGAGGCTAATTACTTTACATCATTGCAGTGGTTTTTGTCATACAGTAACAGTAGCACCTTTTAAATAAAGCTGATAAAAAGGAACTTTTATGGTGGGAGTCTTTAGAAAAAACAAAACAAAAACAAAAACATTAGGAAAAGGAAAGAAAAGTCTATGTTTTAAGCTATGCATCAAAGCAGTGCCATTTAAAATCATAGCACATTAACTGAGGTACTTCAACTGACCAGCCCAACTAAATAGAGACAAATGTGCAAGAAAAAATTATTAATAGTCCCGTCTCTTCAACACAACCAGACACTGCACTTGCTCTCTTCATCTATTCATTCAAGAAATAGTCACTGAATCCCTACTGTGTACCTGGCATGGATCTAGGGGCTGGGACACAGAAAGGGAGATAAGATGTGTCCACCTTGGAGTCACTCACCATCCAGTGGCCAAAGCATGGATCTAGGGGCTAAGACACAGAAAGGGAGGTAAGATGTGGTGTCCACCTTGGAGGCACTCATCATCCAGTGGCCAAACAGACCTGTAAATAACTCATAGTAACACAGTGTGGTGGTAACTGCTGCAGCAGAGAGAGGAAAACAGGCTTGTGGGAAGAGAGAACCTGGAGCAGTTTCAACCTGTGCATGTAAACTCCATTCTTCTCTCTTGTTCCCTTCTCTCCCCTTAGGAAGCACCAACTGAAATGGAATATACCTTGAAAAATCAGAGTTCTGGAGAATCCGAGAAGGGAGAGATCACAGAGAGCTCCATGGAATCCATGAGCACTGAAGAAGTTAGGTCAGGCAGCATCTGGAGGAGGGCACTCTGGAGACAACACTGTGAGCGCTGGTACAGGCATGAAAAGAAAAGCAAATGTTCAGGGGACAGATTGCTTGAAACACAAGGTTTGGGTATGAAATCTGGATATGCCAAGATGACTGAAAAGAGGTGCTATCTTGGATTGCTGTTAATAACAAGACAAGGCATTTGTGTGTTTCTCCATAACTAAAAAGGGCTTCCCTGCTGGCTTAGACAGTGAAGAATCTGCCTGCAATGCAGGAGACCCAGGTTCCATCCCTGGGTCAAGAAGATCTCCTGGAGAAGGGAATGGCAACCCACTCTCGTACTCTTGCTTGGAGAATTCCATGGACAGAGCAGCCTGGCGGGCTACAATCCATGGGTTTGCAAAGAGTCAGATATGACTGAGTGACTAACACACACACCATAACTAAAAAAGAAGTGTTGTATTAGTTACCTATTCCTGCTGTATAGTTACCTATACCAAAAAATTACTTGGTGGCTTAAAGCAACCCAAATTTATCATCGTACAACTCTCTAGAGCAGAAATCTGACATGAGTCTTACTGCACTGAAATCAATGTGTCTTCAAAGCTGCCTTCCTTTTTGGAGACTCTCAGGGACAATCTGTCTCCTTGCCCCATGTCTCAGCTTCTGAATTCCTTGGCATGGGACCCCTTCTTCTTCCTTCAAGGCTAGCAACAGCTGGTCAAGTCCTTCTCACACTGCATCACTCTTGACCTCCTCTCCTGCCTCTCACTTCTACTTTCATGGACCCTTCTAAAGGCCCACCTTTGCAACCAGGACAATTTCTCATCTCAAGATCCTTAACTTACACTTGATTTGGTCCAATGGGAAGAGGAGGAAAGAACAGTTGCCTCTGGCAGAGTAAGGAGAGACTCCCTAGGAAATGGGAAGAGATTGACTAGAAACTGGGGAGAAGGAGAGGGAGGTAGAGTTGTCAGAGATGAATCAGACTTTGCACTCCCATGAGTGTGAGGATCATGGTGTCATTCATCAGGAATATTTGGTTTAGGGAAGTGACACAGTAGTAAATTTAAGTTTGGATCTTTAGAGAAATAACTGACAACTTTTCCACTTTCAAATTTTGAATGGAGGATATATGATCAATAAATATTCAAGACATACAAGCCAGGGAGAGAAATCATGGGTGGGAACAACTGAGAGTGAGACCTGTTGAGATAGACACAGAGCACAAAGAAGGTGAAGAAGGTAAAGGTGGGGAGAGACTGAGATGGGAAGGGAGAGATCCAAGTGAGAGAAAGTGTACAAGTAAGATGGGGAAGAAATACCATTAATACCATTAAGACAGGCCAGGTTGGCAAAAGGAGGAAGTAAGAGGCAGGAGTATCAACAGAGAGAATCTTAGAAAGGGACCAGCTCAAAGGTTTCTGGCATGAATTTGTTGATCAATTTAAATTTCCCGTTCACTTGGGTTGTGCTCACAATTGTAAGTTAATAATTTTTCAGATTGTCTGGAAAGATTTATTTGCTTTGGGAGGTTAATTACTATCACAGCTCCTCTGTTTTGTTAAGCTTCCCCGAAGAGTCTGTGGTCCAGGAAGTGGGGGTGGGGTGGGGTGAATTGTCTTCCCAATAGGCCCTTTGCCACTTCCCTCCCTGACCCTCCCCCACTCCCCCCCATCCCCCCAACCTGTCTCACTAAAGGAAGACTTTCCCCTTCCCTTCCCTACACGACTTAATTCTTGAAATGGTTTGTCTCTGGAATTGGAGGCCTTGGAAAGACGAGTTGAGGAAAAATATTTCTCATTCTGTCACGATTCCTCACAGGTATTACAATGCACTAGAGACACACAGGCAGGAACTTTGGTAAGTCTCAGTACAACTGGGAGTTTACGGTCCCCATTTTACATACGGGAGCCCAGGAGCTAGTCTTTTGTCTAACCCCTCGCTCAAGGTCACAAACTGATAAAGCCAGAATAGGCTTCCTCCAGATTATGGAAGCAAAACGAGTATTGGCAGGATCACTTGGGAAGACTAGTCAGTTGAAATACTGACCGGAAAACTTGGACGCCTTATATCTAAGGGACTACGGATCTCACGCTGAACCCTGCTCACAAACTAACCATGCCCTGGCGGAGTCAGAGGCTGAGAAGGAAGTAGACTGGAGATTTCCCCCGGCACGGATACCACAGGCGCCTACCCTTTTCACGTTGATTATCTTTCGCTAGAGGAGTGGGTACTCAGAGAGGTTAATCAACTTGCGCAAGGTCACCCAGGAGCCAGCAGTGAGCCCAGGACCACCTTCCTCGGTTGGGCAGCGGTCTCCAGGCTAGGCGCCCGCTGGCCCGTCCCCGAGGAGTGAGGTCCCTCTGGCTCCCGCCGCGCCCACTCCCGTGCGCACCCGGCCGCGCCCCCGCCCTCCCTGGCCTCCGGAGGGGGCGGTCGCGGGGAGGATGCGGGCTGGGGGCCGCTGAGCCCGCGGAGCCACCGTCGGTCAGCCGAGAGGAGGACGATGCTCGGCGCGCTCAGGTGAGCCGGGGCTGGGGGCTCTCCGCCGCAGCCCCAGGCGGGCCCGCGCCTCTCGCTCGCCGGCCTCCCAGCGCGGGGGCTGGAGCCCGCACCCGAGGGGGCGGCGGGGAGGGCGCAGGCAGCGGCTGGGAGCGCGGCGGCGGCGGCGGCAGAAGCTCGGCTCCGCGGCGAGGGGTGGCCGTTCCCGTCCGCCGGGGCGCCTCGCTCCCTAGCCTCAGCCGAGGGTAGGTGCGGCCAGGGGCGCCCGGGTCACAACCCCGCGAGCCCAAGCGTGCGCGGGGACGCGGCGGCGCGGCGAGGACGGGCTGGGGGCTCTGGATTCCTGGGACCCGGCGTTAGCTCAGGGATGGGCTGCGTGGCGACTCAGACTGTAGGTGGGCTGGCTGGTGGTGTAGTACATGCCTTCAGCTTGGGACCACTAGGGTTGGGGCTCATGCCCTGCACTTGGGTACGTAAGTACTTGTGAAACTGCTTCTGTGTTTGCTGACTCTGTGAGGTAGTATAACGTGTGCGTGTGTGTGTATGTATGTGTGTGTGTGTGAGAGAGAGACATGGGCTGTGCGTCCATAACCGTGTGTGTGTGTGTGACAGGGTACATGTGTGGACAGTATGGATGATCCTGGATGTATAACGGAGAGAGTGGACTCTGGCTAACTCTCTCCGTGCACAAGATACGCATATCCAGCGTGTATAACTGGCTGTGTGGCTGTGTGTGTGAGTGACCATGAGTGTGTGGGCACGCGGTACTGCATGAAGTATTGGTGGTGGCTGCCAGGGCTAGCTTCCTGCAGTTGTCTTTCACAGAATCCCAACCCCAGTTTAAGATGCCTTTCAGTTCAGCTTGCTCCCCAGTGTCTGGCTGTGCTGCTAGTCCCCTTTGGAAGAAGTGGCTGTTGATACAGGGAAGTGGTGGCTGGCAGAGGTGGAGAAGTGGTGGCATGAACTCATGTTCCTAGAGTTCAATGTTGAGAATACATTGGTTTGGCTTCCTATTGATTCGTTAAAATGGATAAAAAATGTTTAAGATACAGGTTCAGCGTGACCCAAACAGTGGCTTTTGATGGAAAGACCCTTAGGCTAGTTTGCTCTTCTTGTCTTAATATTACTGCAGTGGAGTCCATGGGTCAGAAAGCTGTGGGTGACCCTGAGGGTGATGGATGGTGTTTGCCTAGGCCCCTGTGTGGAACCCCGGCCTCACTGATGAGGGAGGAGAAGTTGCTATGTGCCACTGGTGAGCCCAGGTGATGAAGGGAAAGGACACTGATGATGGATGCAGCGCCCTAGAAACAAGGAATAAGTCAGGACATGGGATGAGACTTGTGGAGTTCTGAGGAGCATCTCTCCAGGAAGAAATGATGAGTGTGGAAAAAAATTAGTAAAAAGTATTTGCATCATTCTCGCGTCATTTTTCTGTCTTATGCATATTTTTTTCCATACCACCCTTACCCTAAACTCACTCCTGTGTTTGTATCATTTTCCACCTTGGAAATGTCTTCATTATAATTATTATTGTACAGCTGAGTGGGTCATCACTTAAACTCCAGGAGAGCTGTAGCACATTAGACAAGTGGGGGCTTCAGGGAGTGTTCAGTTCAGCACTTGCTGAGGCCCAGAGAACAGTGATGCTTTTGGTTCCTCTCAGTTATCTGGATTTTGCTCCTGATGCTGCTCCTTCTAGGGGCCACGATGGCCTTGCAACCACCAAATTGAATATGTTTTCTTCCACTTGAGTTCTTCCAAATCTCCTTAACACTGTTCATCCCCTCATCTCTTTCTTTAGCTTTACAGACTGAAGAACAGCGCCCGAAACACAATGTAAGAAACCTGCTACCCAGACCTCTTCCTGACTTCCCTGTCTTTTATTGAACCATCACCATCCTCCAAGTCACTGTGGCTGAAACCGAAGTCACTTCTTTATTTCTCCTCTTCATCAATAGCAGCCATTTCTTAATTAATAAGCAGGTCTTATTCATTTTTCCTCAATACCTATTGAAGCTAATTTTTTTGTTTTGTTTTGTTTTTTAATCTCACTGCCAGCACCTAATCAGGTGAAACCCATATTCAGGGGTTTCCAGAGATAGAGACTGATACAGGCTGTAATCATTGAAAAAACGCAAAATAAATGCATATAGAGGAGTCCCTTGATATTATCAGTGACTAATAAATAAATTCTTTGGAAGAATCTGGACCTTCTGATGATTATAGTATTATGTGATCAGATCAAATCTTTTGGTCTTTTAAAATCTCATTTTCTTTATCTATGAAATGGTAGATTTCAAGTAGAATTTATTTGTTAAATCATATCTAAGGTTTTCCCCAGCTCTAAAATTCTCTGCTTATCATTGATGTTCTTTGTTTTTGTGAGAAACTTTTAATGCCTTATGGTTACCTTCCAGTATCCAACTATCTTTTTTTTTTAAATAGAATTCAGCTTATCTTCAGGGAAAGGAACTAGGCAAAGAGAAAAGGGTGGAAATGCACTGTTGCCTTTGTTTTGTGGTTCAGAGTCCACAGCACACATCAAGTCTTAGAGTTGAAAAGGTCTTATAGGTAACTATTCCTGCCTCCCATCAAATGTCAGAACCTTCCATACTATTGCCCATTTGAAAATTTTTAAAAAGTTCCAAGTCTTATTAAGATAACTTCAAACAACGTTGTAATTCAGGGTTTCTCAAACCTCTTGTACTATTAATGCTCT